ATGAATTTGATCTGTGATACCTGAATGCAAATACATAGTTAATAAAAATTACAAGGGATAAATAATTAAGGTCAAAAGTAAATAAACAGGTTTAAACAAAGTTAAAGTATGATACCACTGTGAAATTTTAAACATTTTTTAGAAAATCATCACTTTTGAAAAAACCTGCATCATATTATACACAGGTAAATGAAAATAATTTTGTTGTTAAGTATACTTCTTCTGTGTGTATAAAATCTTCCGTTTAGGAATGCCAAGAAATTTCTTTATATCAATAAAACTAATCTAACACTTGGTACATATGGGGTGAATATCAACAATAAAACTATACAATTAGTGCTAGATAAAACTTCCTGTACAGGTGCAAGAACAATATTTAAGGAGAAATGAAATAATTTTGATGTTCATAGTACGAAGAAGTGAAAATTTGTAGTAATTCCAAATAATCAAAGCTGGTATATAGACAAGATCCATGTTAACATTAAATAACAAAAAAGCATTACAAATAGTATCAACAGGTCAAATGAACAAAAAAGTACGATTTGAGAGTACTCGCAGTTACTGACAGCTAGTTAAAAGCCAAAACAATTAATAATAAAAAGTCATGCATCAGAGACTAAAATCAACTAAAACACATCCCAGGGATTTAGTATTTTAACTTCATGAACAGCCAAAGAAGACACAGAATCATGTGTTGAAAGCAAGTCATTATACATAATTGGAGACATATTTTCATGCAACTTCTGCGCATGCATACTTATGATTGTATTTGAATTATCTTTTTAAGAGGGTTCTTTTCAGAAAAAAAAAAATATATACAATTTCTACTCTTCATCCCTTTGAAAATGTTAACGGAATCCAAGATGGTTGGTCGTTTGTTATATCTATTGCATAGATGGCCACGTATTTTTCCAATTATCGTAACCACAATGCTGTCCTCTTTTCTTCAATTGTGACATCCCCGAAAGCGACTTGTCACCGAATTTGAACTTACCTATGCAACATAACGGGTGCCACATGTAGAGCAGGGTCTGCTTATCCTGCCTTAGCACCTTATATCATTCTCGGTTTTTGGGGGAGTTCGTGTTGCTCAATCTTTAGTTTTCTATGTAGTGTTTTAAGGACGGATTTTTACGTCGTTTTTCGTTTTTTGTCATGACGTTGTCACTTTACGTCGACTCATGAGTTTTGAATGTCAACTTGGAATTTTCTCTCTATTTTTTGTATCTATTTCATTTTTATGGCGAGAAAATTCAATATGTAAAATGTACTTTGATGTGATGTGCAGCTCTAATCTAAGGTAATACTTTGTTTATGGATTCTTGACAAACTTTGTCAATATATCTTCTACGTTCAAGAGCAACTGACGTACATGTATTACGTCAAAACGATAAGGTGACACTTCCATATATTTAATAAGTAAAGTAACCATATTTTTGAAGTAAAGTGCATATTATCTACTCTTTGGTGTAAACACTTATCTAATAAAATTGACACAAACATCGTCAGACTTAACTTTATCAGCGACGTTAGGTTATAGAACACTTAACTCATCTAAAATTAGAATAAAGTCGATCTGATGATACGAAGGGCTTAGTAATCGAAAGTGCAAATCTCGAAAGCAAAAACTATATATCTCTAACCTAAATTCTTATAATATACAAAAGTAACAGTATCTTGCACTAATGATATAGAACTTTCTTTTAGATTAAAATGAAAACTTTCATTCAACCCCTTATTCTAATTACTGTAAATTTAAATCTGGTGAACTAAAGATGGTTTTTGTCTAAAATGAAAGTGGCCGCATTCGTGTTCAGTCTCAACCTTTATATATATTATGTACCGGTATTATCATCAAATACAACATATATTCAAATATAAAGACTGAACACAAATGCGGCCACTTCCATTTTAGACAAAAACCGTCTTAAAAATAGCACAAATGCTAAAAATGTGAAGATTTCAGTAATTTTGCATGAATTTATGATGCTAGTACCTGATGCATGTACATTGTATTGTTAAAAACAGCCAATATTTATGGAACATAAGTATTCTACTTTCCAATAAAAAGCTAAAAGTTTACATTTCAACAAATTTGTAAAAATGCTATATTTTGGGGCCAAAAAGGGGTCTTACCGGGCCTACTCCTTTTACCTCTACATCTATGAATTTCAGCGTTCCTAATGATGGTAAATCTAGAAAAGTGCTTCGGACGAATCAAATAAATAAAGTATGATCTCCATTTTCTAGCAGTGAGTCTATTACGTTGATGATGGTCTTCTTGTTCTCGAAAGTATCATCAGCTCAGTAGTAAATGCTTCGGTGTTAACATGATTTATAACAAGTTTTTTTTTAAATATTCATTTATAACATTATCAAGAAACTAAGAACTTCCTAACCCCTCAGACAAAGTTGACCGACTATGCTTTTCGGTCCCCTTTCGGCATATAGCTCCTACACATCATTGGCTTTTTTGGATTTGAGCGATTTTAAGGATTTATTTTTAAAAACTGTTAAGGGCGACATCTTCTATCAAAACCAAAATTTTGTGGCAAGTAGACCTTTATATATTCCTTCAAATACAAATTTGTTTAAGTTGATTTGAGACGTCCTTCGATGCAAAATTTTACAAACATATGTAAAATGTGCAACTGTTCAACAGCAGTATGCAGTGTTGAATTTTTAAATTAAATTAAAATAAGTAAAATTGTTGTTTATTTGTGTGAGAATATTATATATAAAGTTTACTATAATTCTAATTTTACTTACTTACTTACTTTCGTGTACGCCATTGCCGTGTAGGGCTTTAACGATTTTAATACTAACTAACAACTTTTAGAATTGACCATGCAAACAATACAGGAGAGATTGACTCTACCTCTCTACAACGTGTTTTTCGGGTTATTTTCATTTACTATTCTTTGCGACTCTGTCTTTCATAATCGAGAAGTCATCGAATAAATTACTGGGATCGCCTCATTTCAAGAGTTGTGAAATGGAAACAAGTTAAAAATTGACCCTGATATTTACGCGCGTAACTATATATATTGCTATTTCATAGCACTGACAATTATTTACATATCACCTTTGCCTATTAATATTTAATGCCAAAACATACATTGAGTTTTAATTTAGAACGTTACGAGATTTCATTTCCAAGAATTGTTTGATATAGACTGTAATCTATGGCAAGTGAAAGGTCAACAATATATTTATGATATTAGTATAGCCCATATTAATTGAAATGTTTGATAATATAGTAACTTCGGTGTTCTTAAAGATGCTCTGTTTCAGAATAACAAGCTTTTTAAAAACTGTTATATATTGATAATTTATAAATAAAGAAACTTTAAAAGCTGAAAAAAGGAAATTGTGTCCTTGTTCTTGAGATATAATCTATTGAAAATTTGGCGGCAAATGATTCTCTCTAGATTTTTCATACATTTAACATTGGCATTTTTTTTCTTTAAAAAACTATGAAAAAATAACAAGGATTTCATAAGATTTTCAAAAATGTCCTTTTGAACTATATTTGATAAAATCATGAAATAAAAGTAGGGATTGGCGTTTATTGGCACTATGTGGATAAAACTAGACTATTCCGAAAATCTAAAAAAAAAATGCCAAAAACAAGAGTAGCGAACTTCCTTAACATCTGCCTTTCGCTTGCACTCGAGAGTAAAATTATAAAACAACGATTATAATGTTGATAAAGAAAAAATAATTATATAAAGAGACTGTAAACTTGCAAGATACCCGTTATTCGCAAATTCAAGATCTTATAAGATAGATATATTTTGCTTCATAAAAACGAAATCTGGCTAGGATTTTGTCTAGGGGCAATATGTACATGCAGTCATATAAAGCTGGGCGTTCGTTTTGGCCGGTGTAGGGTGAACAAATACGCAACCCGGCATTCCAGTCGGAAAGGCAACGTTAAATCATATGACTCCCGTGTAGGAAAAGTGTCAGGCTATTGAAAATAGCTTGTTACAAGGTAAACATTCTTGTATAATCCTTCTTGCCCTCATTTAATATCGAAGGTATAAATTTCCCACCCTTTGTCCCGATCCGACATACTTTGTATAACTATCCTAATGTATACTTCTAAAAAAAAGTATAACAACACAATTTCTGACTGAAAATAAAGTAAAACAAAATCTTGATTTATCTTTGAATTTGTGTTTTCTTAATCTTCATACAGTATCTGGGAAAACAATTGGGAGGAATACTTTTTTTACCCACAATATTTTATCCTTATGATTTAGTTTTCTTCTCTCTTCAGTTTAACATCCTTTAAAACAGGAATGCTGATTATTTCAGATCATTTTAAGCATTTGCTATAAAGATGTGAGCCCTCAAAGTTGGCCCCCATTAATATCAATGAAAGTGTTGCAAAACTTTTTTTGAGTATATATTAATTGTTAACTTGTTCTCTTCCTAAATAAACATGACATATTTGCCACTGGTCTTTAAGCAAACTGCAATTAATCTTTATTAATTGTATTTGTAAACTACATTATTTTCTATTTGTTCTATATCATCCCTTTTCTTTATTTTCGTTTTGGAAGTTCCAATTTAGAAAAGACGAATTCGATTTGCTGATATCTTTAGATTTTTTTCTATTTTGTTTGCCGGGAAAGACAATACTTCAATAATGTATGATATAGTATTCCGGTTGAGTGCATTACGCAATAAATAATACGTCATCTGATCAGCTGCAGGCATACTGCAGGATTGTGTTTGTCTTGGAAGTCAACATTTCCTCTCAACAAATTATCAAATTGTTCCGTACAAATTAAAAGGCACATAACCAATTAATTGTTTCCAGGTATAAAATGCAGTAATATATTTATCAGATTATAAATTGATTTCTTACAGAAACTCTTTCGTTTTAGAGTGACCAACATCAGAAGCTCAGTCCAGATTTTTCAAACAGCAATTTTATATGTATTGGAAAAAATTATATTCTAATACCAGAATAAACAGATTCAGTAATAATGATGATTCAGTGCAAAAGTGTTCCAGGAGAACGCGTAGTTGTTAACAGTAGTGTAACAGATCTTTTGAAATTATTTGATGCACCTGAAATCCATTCAAAACCGATTTTAGAAGTCACTCTGAAGATCATATTTTACATAATTGCTATTGCCGGCGACATCGTAGGAAACTTTATAGTTATTTTAATTATAATCTGTCACAAGAAAATACGAACAACCACAAATATTCTAATCCTGAACTTAGCAATTTCTGATATCATGGTGGCGTTTTTCTGTATGTGGGTACATCTTGGGAACCAGATTTCTCCAATGTGGCCATTTGGGGCTTTCATGTGTAAATTTGCAACCTTTGTTCAAGGTAAGTCGGAATACATGTTTTCATTTTATGTGTTGATGTTTACCACCTATATTAGAATTTCCTTGATGGACTCGTTGTAGTTTTCTTGTTTCAAGTTGAAACATATTTTATATACAAGAATAGCAAAAGGGAGTGGTCACAGCAATATTAGAGGCGTTCTTTCTCTTATCTCTTGTGCGGGAGGACGTGGGTTCCACTTCCGTCTTGGTTAAACCAAAGACTTTAAAATTTGGTATTTGCTGCTTCTCTGCCAAGTAAGTATATTACTTCCTTTGGAATTTATTTGAGATCCAGTACATTAAAAATACGAATTTTAGCGTACCAGTCACGTACAAAGCAGGGTATATTCACAATAACATACATTGTTAACAGTTGTTATATGTATTGCATGTCATTGGTTTTTCTAAATGGATTTTGCTGTAATTTTTATAAAGGAATAGAAAAAAATTAACGAAAAATACACCGAACTTTCACAACGTGTATCAACCTTCAAGGAGAGTCCAGTTTTATCGGGACAATTTGCTATTGTTGCTTATATATATATATTCTTTCCAAAATAAAACCTTTTAATCTACTTCATATATATTAGAAATAAATAAAACTTATTATTTATTTTTTTAATATATTTTATTACAGTTCTTTCAGTTACACTCAGTGTCTTAACCCTAACCTGCATATCAATAGAACGGTTTTTAGCTATTGTTTTCCCGCTGAAAGGAAAGTTGACATTACGTGGAATATATATATCAATTACAGTGACATGGATTATTTCACTGGCGATTGCTTCGCCGCATCTTTTTATTCGAGAACTGGTAGAGATGCAGTTCCGGAACAGGAAAGACACAATTTGTCAAGAGCAATGGCCAAAGTACTACACTGACACTAAATGTAAAACAGAAGAACCCGGGAGGAAGATTTATTATACAATTGAGGGGGTCGTAATGTATTTTATCCCCATACTGGTCATGGTTGTTGCCTATAGCATTATAATTATGAAGTTAACGTTTAGAAAAATTCCTGGCAATATCACAACAAGTTCGTCTTCATCACATAACAAAATCAGAAGAAAGGTAAGTTTGGTTTTATTTTATATTTTGTTCTTTTGTTTCAATTTAATGACTTCAACTTTCCCCTCTCATTGTAAGATATAAACTATACTAAAAAACGTAAATTAGTTTTTAAAAAACATGCGTTTTCGATAGTTGAATTAAAATCAAAAACTGTTTCGACAACTTACTGTCCAGGAAGAATTTTCAATTCGCAAATATTTCATAGGAACATCAAGCATTTAGACACTAGAAGTCAAATGACACTATAATACGTATGAAAACGTGCCAGATGCTGGAATCCCGTGTAATTTGATGACCTGGATGGGTATTGAAAAATCTCGGGTGAGCTCTCAAATTCCCGGGTGTGATCCGCAAAATGTATGTGTGTTTGTAAACAAGAGGAGATATGGATAAATATAAATGAGACTCAAAAACACATATAATGTTACAAGGTAAATTATTCCCCCATCGTCTCAAAAAAAGGAGAAAAAAGCTACATCGGAGAGCAACTCTCTTAAAAATTCTTGTTATTAAGGCCACACCAATTTGATTAATAGTTCTTTGGATTTTCCCGCTCCTGTTTTGGAAGAATTGACTTTTCAATAAAAAAAAATAATTACCGCTTCCGCCAATTTTTGGGCCGCATGCCGCTCCAAAATTAGTTTATCCTTCACATTTTTTTTTCTCTTAGACGTTTTTCTCGTACATATATTGCTCCGAGCGATTCAAACGCATGTGTGATAAATCGAGTTGTAAATAAAAGGTCAAAAATCGGGATGCCAACATGAAGTTGTGTCAGATCATTGCCGAGGACACGTAGTTATTAAACACACAGTTATTTGAAATGCATTTCGTTTCACCTGTTCTAGGAGACAAAAATAAAAAATCTTTCGTTAGATGACCACGATCACATCAGTACTTGTTAGAACCATTGTCATCCCCGATCATTGTTTCAACAGACATAGTCCGAGATTACTCCGACGTCCAACAGCTGTTTGCCAGAAAAGATGGGGGGCTGTTGTCCCACGGCCCAAGCTTGTCTGGCAAAACAGCCGTTGGAGGTCAGAGTAATCTCGGACTACAACAGACATAGATATCTAGAGCTATCTGTCTTGGATGAAATTAATATTAAATTCACATGAATTTTTGAAAAATGACAGATTTATCTTATTTTAATGAAAACTCCATATCCCCTTGTTAGTCTATTGACATGCAATCAGAACTCTTTTGTAAGGGAAAATTTAAGAGTTCCAACATTCGAGACCAAAGTGGTGGTATTGGGATTGGCATGCTAATAATAATTAGGGATGTGTTATTGGTGCAACCACTTCCAGTTTGAAATACATTGCAGGTTTCAGGGGAAAAAACAAAAAGTATTTTGCTAAGTCAGAATAATGCATGTGAATGTGGTTAAATGTATTTTAAGGGAATAGATAAAGGAAGATGTGGTATGAGTGCCAATTAGACAACTCTCCATCCAAGTAACAATTTATAAAAGTAAACCATTATAAGTCAAGGTATACGGCCTTCAACACGGAGCCTTGGCTCACACCGAACAGCAAGCTATAAAGGGCCCCAAAAATTACTAGACGTGTAAAACCATTCAAACGGGAAAACCAGCGGTCTAATCTATATAAAAACGAGAAACGAGAAACACGTATGAACTACATATAAACAGACGACAACTACTGTACATCAGATTCCTGTCTTAGGACAGGTGCAAACATTTGCCGCGGGATTAAATGTTTTAATACATTGAGATCTGCATGCATAGCAATATAATTATCTTACTCAGGATGTTGTTGATATATTCACCTCACTCATAATATTGATCCTATTATGGATAAATAGTTCCAACTGGATGTCAAGCAGCCAATAAACAATCATTACCATATAATTAAAACAACTATATCAAAAGATATTTAATATTTTTCATGGGCATTTTTTTGGAATACATACACGTCATACACATATTTTAATTGTAGTCAACACATTTCATTTACCTAACTAACATAATTCCTCTTGCTAAACTGCATCTGATATGCTTCCTTAATATATACACATGTATGAATTTAAATGAAAATTCACGCAGTCAAAGCTTATTTGACGAAAATAATCAAAATTATACTAAACCAAAGCCAACCAAAAAGTTGGGTATGGTACAGACTGTACTACAGTCACAAATACATCAACTTATATGCATAAGAGCATGTTTATCCTCCTTTTTCTTTGAAGTAACCCAGTTTTAACATGTACAAATATTCTAAATCGCACAATTTAAAAAAAAAAATTATACCGCTCGCTCCACTTGTAGAGCACCCGCCTCAACAAAACTCATTTTCAAGAAATAAATACAATCAAAAAAATTTCGCTCGCTCGCCCCATATTTTTTTGGAGCTTTTGTCCGAAGAACTAAAAATCAAATTGGTGTGGCCTAAGCAGTGGAAAAGCGGTGACAATAGAAAAAAAGCAGTTCAATACCAAATTTAGTGACGTATCTAATCATAACAAAGTAATCGGATATAAATTATTAAATCTTTATACAAACTTTCTTGATACTATTAACATTCTATTTAACTTACGTCAGCAAAAGCTAGATAAACATTTATTATATGATCTGATAATTAATAAATTATAATTGAGTGAAGCATACACTAACAAACCATAAATAAACGAATTTATTAAGTTGTTATACCTAAAGCATATATAGCAGTAAATAAAGAAATCAAAATAGGGAGGGAAAAAACAAAAAACAAAACAAATAAAAACGAAATTAGATGAAATAAAATGAATAAACTAAAAATGTTGTGTTCATATCATCTAGGTTTGAAATGTCCTCTTGCTCTTGCATGAGATAAGTGATTACATTCATAAAAAAATGAATGGAATCTCCGATCACCTAGCTGCAGGCATAAGATAGCTCATAAATAAAGCTTACTCTAAATTAATCTTCTTAAATAAGACATATAAGTACGTATCGTCATTACATTGTTTTGAGGTTACTAAACCATTTATCAATTTTCATTTTCAATGGCAGAACAAGAGAACATGCAGTTAAAATTAAATTCAGAAAACTTAGTAAACAAATACTCAATAATAGTGAAACAGTATTATTGCCAAAAATAAAGATGCAATGTTCATATCAGCTAGTTTTGAAATGTTCCGATAGCTCTTGCATGGGATAAGCGATTAAATTCATAGAAAAGTTGAATGGAATCTTTGGTCACCTATAACTGACGTCATAGCTGCAGACAGAACGTGGCTCATCAATAAAGCTTGCTCTAAACCCATCTGCTTAAATCAGACAGATAGGCTAAGCACGTATCGGCGTTAACTTTGTTTTGAGGTTACTTAACCGTCCTTTCATTTACTTTGTCAACGGCAGAAAAAGATTTAAACATACAATAAAACTGAATTAAATAAACACGATGATAAACATTTAAGTAAAATTAATTAAAAAGAACTTAGCATTTAAAATGACATAAGATGTGCAAAAACGATTTTGATTTAATGTTCCTATATTGAGATGTCAAATACTGTGAACCAACTTATTTTCGCGGATACTTTATTTCGCTATTAGCCGTTTCTAGCCCATTTCGCAGCGATTTTTTTTCACGATTCTCAAACTCACTTGATATAGTTAATTATGGAAAAATCCAAGTTTTAAATATTCGCGTTATTTTTCTACTTGCGAAAGTCGCGAAAATAAATCGCTCGCGAAAATTAGTTGGTCTACATTAATATTAAACACAATTCTATGTATAAATAAAATTCGGCAACTTGGAATAACGACCAGTTTCTTCTTTCAAATGAGAATTTCCTCTAAGAAGCAAAGCAAATGAACACGTATGTATCTTTATAATTCTAACGACATATATTTCTCACTTTTGTGTCACCTATGCAATTATATTAGTTTTGATCGTGTTTCTGGTACTTTACAGGTTATTCGAATGCTATTGGTTGTTTTGTTATCATTTGTAATATGCTGGACACCACAACAAACATTTCTCCTATGGGACGTTTACAGAAGCCGTAACTTAGTATGTATACATATATATATATATATATATATATATATAAGTCTAAAGATTTGCACAACGGTACTAATAGAAGATGGTAATATACGAAGATGATGTTATAAAATCGTGTTGACAAATATTTCGGCTTAACAAATAGCCTTCGTCAGTGTCAATAATTTTAACAATACTAATTGTATGCGTTAAATAGCTCAATAATACAGGTAAGTTTTGGTCTATTGATTTAATCTCAAATCTTGAACATCATAAAATAAAACAAAACTCAATAGACGTGACTGTGTATATATACATCCCAAATTGTCAAAATGAGTGTAAAACAAAACTGCTAGTATTTCTTATTGATGCCGTTTGGATGATGAACATTTAGTTCCTTTATCCAAAAGCTTTTCCAAACCTGTCGCTGGGCATCACTCCAGTAAATGTTCTGTTCAGTCACTAGGATTTTCATGCGGTTAAAATCATCAAGTTTGTGACCCGATACTGACTAACTAGGAGAAGTGGCTTCTTAGAGATATCACTCCTATGGCCATTGAGGCGTTTGTGGAAAGGCTGCTTTGACTCACCAACATATTGGAGACCACAAACCGAACATTCTAGAATGTAAATAATATTCATACTTTTGCAGGTCACATTGCAAAATATTATATAGTTATTTCGGTTGCCTTACTGTGAAAAGTTTCTGAGTGATGCATATGTATGCAGCATTTGCAGCGTTTTTCATCACAAAAACGACATTCTCCAGAAGTACTTCTCAAATTAGACACTTCAGCCCGCACCAGCAGGTTCCGCAGACTATTGGCTTGCCTAAGCTATCTGGGGGGGGGGGGGGGTACCGGGAAAAATCTTGGATAGTTTGGAAGTCTTTTCAAATGTTTTCCAATACTCACGAATGACACCGAATCTGTTTTTGAGTGATGCATGGTAAGTAAGAACACATGGAGTCCTTATCCTTTTATTTTTATTTTTATCTTTGTATTCTAACAGTTTACTCCTTGGAATAGTTTCCGCTTTCTGAAAACTTTTTTTGATAGTTCTGTGTTTATAGCCCCTTCTCTTCAAGCGGGTTTCGAGTTGACTCAGTCGTTTTTTAGTTGTTTCTGTGTTGGAACATATTTGCTTGACTCTGAGTGCCTGACTGTACGGGATGCTCTTAGTACAATGAGTAGCATGGCAACTTTTAGGGGACAGGTAATGGTGAGTATCAATAGGCTTAGAATATAGGTCTGTGGATTTGATGCCATCTGTTAGGTAGCTGGAAGTATCGAGGAAGGTGATTTGGATTTAGATCTCTCATGAGTAAATTTGATACTTTGATGTATGTTGTTGGCATGAGTGATGAATGTATCTAAATCCTCGTCACTTTTATTCCATTTCATATCCACATCATCTATAAATCTAAACCAGGAAAGCGGTTTTTCGATTGAAGATTCAAGGAGTTGTATATATATTTAGACCCCTCTACAAAGAAATTTGTTTTGCATGCACACGTATAAAAATTGCGGTTTTTATCCAACGCAATCATAGGTTTGAACGTTGTTTTCAATTTAGACTTGTTTATATTTTTTCGTTTGGGCTTGTATTATATTTGCCTTCGGGTTTATATGATCCGTTTATCCTATTTCGACTCTTTCAAAATTCAAGAGTCTATCCTAAATTGAGGTAAATTATATGGCCTTCCAAATACCGTTTCGATTCCTAACATCACTGAAGAGACATTAATTGTCGAAATCCGGATATGGTGTACACATTTTTGCACCTCATGTTTGCGGTATACCCTCTTTTCCGCAAGTTTATTGTTTTCTGTTTGGTAAAAAATTATTATAAGATCCATTTTGTTACATCTGGTGATCCGTTTATTTGGCAATCGTCAATGGCAGTCAGAAGGGTTTAAGGACATCAGTTGTTCGACCTGCTAGTCAAATGCGTTTTGTTAAAATATACTTTTTCACTTTTTTGGTCTTTTGGAAAATGTTGTTTGTGCTGTATTTAGACCCCTCTACAAAGAAATTTGTTTTGCATGCACACGTATAAAAATTGCGGTTTTTATCCAACGCAATCATTGGTTTGAACGTTGTTTTCAATTTAGACTTGTATATATATATATATATATATAAACGCCTAAAAAGCGTACACAACAACACCAATAACAAAAAAAGGAACTTTAAATGTAATTATTTATAAATATTTCGGATAACAGATATCCTTCATCAGTAAATATGATTGTGATGTTGAATGAATCATATATCAGTCTACTTAGATTAAACTATAACAATCTTGAAATTTATACAATAAAAAAGTCAAACCGAACATCAGGTAAGACGCTTGCACAATTCTAAATATGTGTTAAACACGACATAGGTTATATGACTAATTACAACAGAGAGTTCAAATATATGCTTTAAATAAAAATTAATAATGTGCGATATGAACTAGCACAATTCTAAAGCTTTAACGGTGACGACAGTTATGATGTTACAAGAACGATTGCGTCAATAAGAATTCCAAATAAACAGCACTGAACGATCTAAATTTGTAAATATTTCAAATTTGACAACGGTAGAGTAGTTACAACAGAGTCTGCGTATTTAAACATCGCAAACAAACGGCTGTTAAAATATAATAATAAATTTTGACTAAGGTTAACTAGTTGAACGTGGCTTGGTACTTTTACATCCCTCAAAAAATTAAGCAATTTAAATTGGTATATTCAACAGATTTATTTTAGAGATGAGTAAGGTAAAGAAATAGAAACAGAGACTGTAATAATAAGTAATATAATCCAAATGTGAAGCACTGCATGGAGTCGAACTACATCTTTTCATTTATCCCATTTGGTGCCAAAGTTGTTAATTTTCTTATCCAAAATCCAAAAATGTCGTGTCGGAGGGGAGTTGATTTAAGGCCTGCAATTTTCTAAGATAATCGGTAGTATCTTTGATGTGAGATGGTAAGTCTTCAACATGTTGACGAAGATGGAAGTCAACGAATTCCGATATTTTTTCCGTCGGATGACCGTTCGCTGAAACTATAGGTCTTCCTGGGTTATTGGCCTTATGAATTTTAGGTAAAAGATAAAATCTGCCCGGTTTTGGATTTTCTGGTTTCAAATATCCAAGAGTCTTTTCATCGATGAAACCATCGTTGTGCATTTCTACCAAACTATCAGTTATTTCTCTGCTAAAAGATGTTGTAGGATCAGAGTCTAGTTTTTGGTAGAACCTTGCATCGCCAAGTTGTCGTTCAGCCTCTTGAATATAGGCAGATATATCCATGACAACCACTGCACTGCCTTTGTCTGCAGGTTTAATGACGATATTGTCGTTAGATCGTAAGTTTTTCAGTGCAGTTCGTTCTTCATTGGTAAGATTGTCAAAAGGTTTATTGTTATTTCTAGTATTTCTAATAATGTCCGACTTAAAATTTTCAATAAATGATTCCAAGGTGGCATTTTTGCTCGGTTTAGGGATCCAAGTACTCTTTTTTATAAATTTGTAGTTGTTCTCGTCTTCTGAAATTTCTGAGTCGCTATCCGAGCTTCTGTTGTTATTCTCCTTCGACGCGAAATATTCTTTAATGCGTAGACTTCTGGCAAAATTGTCTAGGTCTTCCGACAATTTAGTTTCATTGACAGGGGCAGGTAGAGGACAGAAATTTAAGACTCTCGAGAGAAGAGATGTTTCAGCTTCCGTTAACTGGTGTTTGGAAAGATTGACCACAATGTTGGAGGGCGAATCAGTCTCTAGTGACCTACGTTTAAAGCTTCTTACTCGTTTTCTCTTTTTTTCAGATGGTAAAGAAGATGGATATGTTCGATGCCATCCCTACGGAATTTTCTTTTCTGCCTTTCACTCAAATTTTGAGATTGTATGGTTGTTATGTCTTTAAGGCGAGCATTGATAGCATCACAATTGTCAGATGTGAGATCTTTTTTGCAGCTATCAAAAAGGGTGTTAAATTCGCCAGTAAGAGTTTTCAGATGTTCTTCGCAGTGTTGTTTGAGGAGGACCATTAACCACTTGGAACAATGGTAGAGAGTTTGATCCCATTTGCGAAGTAATGTGGTGGATAAATTGCCAGGTGTTTGTGGCATAAGCTTGATTTGTAGTCCGTTAGGAATACTTTCATTATACACATAATGGGTTAAATTAGATAAGTGGTGTTCAGTTCTAATTTGTTTTTGTTTAATAGCTCTAAGTTGTTTAAAATAATCATTGATGTTCATGATATAAGAGCTGAAAACTAAAATTCACTGGGATTATGTGAATGACATAATACAGGTCATTCAGAGGAAAAATAATATAGAAGTCTATAAAAAGGACCAACCAGCAAATTTACTATGTACCGGATCGTCTAGAATAGACGATACTGTGCAGATAAGGAAAAAATTATATAAGTCTAGAGATTTGCACAACGATACTAATATAAGATGGTATTATACGAAGATCCAAACACAATAGTCAAACACAGAACTATCCAAAAAGGTTTTCAGAAAGCGGAAACTATTCCAAGGAGTAAACTGTTAGAATACAAATATAAAAATAAAAATAAAAGGACTCCATGTGTTCTTACTTACCACCCATCTCTCAAAAACAGCCTCGGTGTCATTCGTGAGCATTGGAAAACAGTTGAAAAGAATTCCAAACTATCCAAGATTTTTCCCGAGCCTCCCATGATAGCTTTTAGGCAACCCAATAGTAGTCTGCGGAACCTGCTGGTGCGGGCCGAAGTGTCTGATAATAGAAGTACTTCTGGAGAATGTCGTTCGTGTGATGAAAAACGCTGCAAATGCTGCCTACAGATGCATCACTCATCAACTTTTCACAGTAAGGCAACCGAAAATAAGTATAGGATATTTTGCAATGTTAACTGCAAAAGTATGAATGTTATTTACATTCTAGAATGTTCGGTTTGTGGCCTCCAATATGTTGGTGAGTCAAAGCAGCCTTTCCACAAACGCCTCAATAGCCATTAGGAGTGATATCTCTAAGAAGACACTTCTCCCAGTTTCTCAGCATTTCAGACAGTCTGGTCACAAACTTGATGACTTTAACCGCATGAAGATCCTAGTGATTGAACAGAACATTCACTGGAGTGATGCCCAGCGACAGGTTCGGGAAAGCTTTTGGATAAAGGAACTAAATGTACATCATCCAAACGGCATCAATAAAAAATACTAAGTTTTACTTTTCACTCATTTTGGGATGTAAATATACACAGTCACGTATATTTGAGTATTGAGTTTTGTTTTATATTATGATGTTCAGGATTTTGGATTAAATCAATAGACCAAAACTTACCTGTATTACTGAGCTATTTTTATACATATAATCAGTATTGTTAAAATTATTGACACGGAAGAAGGCTATTTGTTTAGCCGAAATATTTGTCAACACGATTTAATAACAACATCTTCGTATAATACCATCTTATATTAGTATCGTTGTGCAAATCTCTAGACTTATATAATTTTTTCCTTATCTGCACAGTATCGTCTATTCTAGACGATCCGGTACATAGTTAATTTGCTGGTTGGTCCTTTTTATAGACTTTATATATATATATATATATATATATACAAGTCTAAATTGAAAACAACGTTCAAACCAATGATTGCGTTGGATAAAAACCGCAATTTTTATACGTGTGCATGCAAAACAAATTTCTTGTTAGAGGGGTCTAAATACAGCACAAACAACATTTTCCAAAAGATCAAAAAAGTGAAAAAGTATATTTAAACAAAACGCATTTGACTAACAGGTCGAACAACAAATGTTCTTAAATCCTGCTGACTGCCATTGGCGATTGCCAAATATACGGATCACAAGGTGTAATAAATGGATCTTAACTTTAAATTTAATACCAAACAGAAAACAATAAACTTGCGGCGAAGATGGTATACCGCAAACAAAGGTGCAAATATTTTTTGTACACCATATCCGGATTTCGACAATTAATGTCTCTTCAGTGATGTTAGGAATCAAAACGGTTATTGGAAGGCCACATAATTTACCTCAATTTGGGATAGACTCTTGAATTTTGAGGAGTCAAAATAGGATGAACGGATCATATAAACCCGAAGGCAAATATAATACAAGCCCAAACGAAAAAATATAAACAAGTCTAAATTGAAAACAACGTTCAAACCTATGATTGCGTTGGATAAAAACCGCAATTTTTATACGTGTGCATGCAAAACAAATTTCTTGTTAGAGGGGTCTAAATACAGCACAAACAACATTTTCCAAAAGATCAAAAAAGTGAAAAAGTATACAAGAGATTTTTTTTTTGGGGGGGAGGAGGGTATATATATATATATATATATACCCTCCTCCCCCCCAAAAAAAAAAATCTCTTGTAAGTACTGAGCCTCATAGATGTGATCCTTAATTTGACTCATGAGAGATTGAATCATAAATAGTTTATACATTCTGTATCTTTGGTACTTTGGGTTTTAGATTTGTCAATCCGACATGGTTAAACAAAAGGAACTTGAATATTCAAAATCATTTCAATAGTTAAAACAAGATTATATAAATAGATTATTGCTGTTAACTAGTTAAGCTGAAAGTGTTCACCGTTCTATCAAAAAAAACTATTTTGGTTTATGATGTATAAATTCAAAATGATTCCATTGTTACATGTATCCTCTCCTTTATAAGGGGTATGTATGACCCGGCTTATCGTAGAGTGTCAGACGCAAAAAGCATTTTTTTATCGTCATTTGTGACATTCTATATTTGAGCTACCAAAAGCGTCAAACAGAGATAAATGTTATCGTTAACGCTTATTTTTCAAAATTTTAACCATCAATTATCATGTGAGGTTAACCCATTCTACCTTCTTGTTATCCCGATGCTTCTTATCCGTTTCTTTCATAGTGACCAACTTTTTTGTTATATTTGCAGCAAATACCAAAATATGTCATATCATTGAAGTATGCCGCTGTGTACCTTGCATATTTCAACAGCGCTCTCAATCCTATCATATATGCAGGACTGAATGAAAATTTTAGAAAAGGCTTCAAAGAAGCGTTTAAATGTCAACTCTGGGGGAAACGAAATCAAGTTCGTCCAGGTTAGTACTTTTAAATTTGTAATAGTTGTTAAAGTTGGGCCATTTCAGTAGTCAATGTTTCGTTACTAACATGCTTCTAACATACTCTTCTCTCTTCAATTCTCCGTTGATAAATTTTTAAACTATTAAGAAATTCAGGTTCCTACTCGCTCAAGCAAAGATGGATTAGGCTATTCTATAATATATTAAGTTCCCTTTTAGTCATATAGCTCTTCACGTCATGTGCTCAGGCACTTATACATTCTTGGCTTCAAAATTTTTGATTTGATGAATAATAGAAAATTGATGAAATTCAAATCGTAGACATATTCATACTCATTTTACATATTTGTGTAATAGATCTCCCTTCTTGTTTTGACCTAATTTTTACACTTTGATTTTTTAACAAACTTTTCTTGAATCCTCCATTGATACATTATTAAGAAAACTGTTGAAACTCAGGTTCTAACTCCCTTAAGCAAAGTTGACTTATGATTTGATTTGATTTTTGGTGTTTTAACGCCACTTTTAAGCACCGCTTTTGGGCTATTTCGTGGCGGCCAGTTTTTATTGGCGGACGAAGCCGGAGTGCCCGGAGAAAACCACCGACCTTCGATAGGAAAATGTTTTGACTTTTTGAGATTAAAATCACACTAGCTTTTATCATCTTTTCAATACTGACCGTATAGGTGAAACAAATTGACCTTGTCCTGTAAAAGTAAAACAATACATAGGGAAATGACCTGAACACAATGTCAAACATGATCACAAATTATATGAGCTGCGTCGGATAGAACTTGACCTTATACAAGTGCACGTATACATGTACATGTATAAGTGTTTGATTGATTTTGGAATGTTCAAATACGAAATAAAAGATGAATTTTGGTCTGTTTTGTAGGGTTCTCATATCAATTCAATTTTCAAATAGTTACAGACTTTGCATAGATATTTTTTTCAACCCTAAATAAGTTAACAGATGTTTTGATATTTATTTGCATAAAGTCGATTTCTATACGACGCAGCTCAATTATGATATATGTAACACAATACAATTATACTGTTAAATCTTTAAAATATGATTTTTTTATAAAGTTACAGGTCCAGTGACACCTTTAACTGTGAATGTTTCCAGCTTTCAGAATATTAGTTCAGTTATCACAGAGGATGGTTGATTTATATATTATAATATATACATAAGTGTCACAAATTAAAAAAAAAATAATTCCACGCATTCGAATTTCTCAAAAATTAGTTATATAACGAATGAGAGAAAGTGTATTGTGTTAGTATATATAATAGAAAAACAAAGGATATGGGGTATCCATCCATGACTCAAAATCAGTACATGCATAGCAAAAAAACACACAGCAAGCAAAAGAACAGCGTTTTTTTGCTGTTCTTCATCTCAAAGTCTCACCTCACTGCAGGTTTAAGACGGCCTCTGGCACCGGTTTGAGAGGAATTCTTTGCAAAATAATTCGGATAGAATTTGTAAGATGTCTCACCACCAAATCGGGCCCGGTCAAAAAAGAACATACATTTAATATAGTACCTGTTAAATTATAAGCGAACTTATTTTCCCTAATTTTAAGTATCAAATTATTAATTTTTTGTTATATGCACAAAATAAAAAGGTATTAATAACATATAAAATACTATTATATTTCTGTATATTATACCTTGACATATTTCGGTTTTTGAGTAATATGCATTTACGTTGACCAAGTAATATATATAGAATACAAAGAATGGTACGGATTTAAGTGCGCATGCCACGTGTTTCTGTGGTACCTGTAGACCGGAAGTTTTTGAAATCATACATAACGTTTGAGAACATCAACACCAGAACAACCCAGTCAGCAAAGGTCGTCTTAGGTCAATTTAACACTTTTCATGAGCTTTTCCGTTTATTTCAAGTGCGCATTTATTTTCTGAATATAGTTGATGGCATAAAATAATTTAAAAAATCAGGAATACAATACAAATAGAATGAAATATACAAACTTCAACATAACCTTGTATTGTGAACTATACAGTTGACGAGTCCACTTTCCACAGTACTTTGGACTATTTACTAAATGGTTCGACAAACTACATAATAAAGTTCAGTCATAGATAAATAAAATTGAGATTGGAAACGGGGAATGTGTCAAAGAGACAACAACCCGATCAAAGAGCAGAAGACAAGCCCAAGGCCACCGAGGAAATCCCGCACCCGGAGGCGGACTTCATCTGGCCCCTAAACAATAATATATACTAGTTCAGCGAAAATGAACGTCGCACTAAATTCCGAAACATAAAACAAACCCAAATTAAAAAGGACATACAAGACTAACAAAGGCCAAAGATTCCTGAGTTGGAACAGGCGCAAAAATGCGGCATGATTAAACATGTTTTTTTTTATCTAAATTACTTAGTTCTGGAATCTGATTATTATAATTCATCTATTAGAGTATGTGATATGTAATAAGTTTTCAAATAATGATCTTTCTCAAAAGATTAATCGAAATTCATAGTAAAATGTTTTATAAATACGATTTACCCAAAACTTTATCATTGACAGATGACAATTTTCACTTTGATTTGAAGGAAAGGAATTCTAAATTTGGCTAGATAAAAATCTATTTATGTATGAAAATAAGAAATGAAATTAAGAAGATATAATAATATAGATGTGGACATCACGTTTCATTACTAAGAATAGTTATGGCACTCATTTGATCACATTAGTAAAATAGTTTGAATATTTCAAGTACCGATTGGGCGAGTGAACGCCAAATTTTCAAAACTCTCAAAACCATTTACACGAATTAAATCAAAGACTTGGCAACTTAATTAATAAATTTGCCCAAAACAAACAAAAATATTGTTTTAAAGTCTAGTTATTTAAGATGGATAACATACGCAAGCAAAACCCTTCTGGTTTTTCATTGTGGTATACATTAATCAACTTTAAAATTCTATGGGATAAATTGTTTAGAAGTATATAAGATTAAAGCGAGACTTGGGGTATAGTTCATCAAGACTCAATAATACCAGAAAAGACATCTATATACTAACATACGAACTTTTACAATCGAGAAGCATCTTCTTTAAATATCTAGGTTTCATAATATCTACTGCGTAACAAAGTCGTTTCGCGAAAATTGGAATTTCATTGTATTGTACAAAACAGTTAAAAAAATAAACAGAATATGGGAAACGTGTATATAGTGAGTGATAGACAATCCTCTGTTACATAATTTACATTAGTATGACACCGACAATTGACTACGATGGCGACTCGTGTGTGTCTGCTACACCAGCCCAGTAGCTTACAAAAATTAGATTTTTTTTAAATACTAAGGATTTTCTACTCCAGTTATAGATTACCTTAGCTGTATTTGGCAAAACCGTACGGGATTTCTTAGACGAAACGCGCGTCTTGAGTACAAATTTTTAAGCCTGGTACAATGTACCTGGGATGAATTTATCTACAACATTTGCACGAACAAACCATGCAAATGAAATTCATTCATTTAATATTTGTGACAAAAGTACATTTTATCATACCAAATTTTAAATTAAATATCTAACTCTTAACTTGGGCGAACAAGGTTACACCCTTTTCTATCTGTAACATAATTTACTAGAGTACATACGTAGTGATGACGTAAATACAATGACAACACAGATTTTAATATACTAAATATATAACCTTATTCCAATTTATATCAATTACAAACTACTTTATGATTATAAATGTCTATATTTAATAAATGTACCACCGTGTCAAGAAAAGGCAGTCCAAAGTTTAAAACTAGTAATGATAGACATTTTACATCGTCAGTGTATACGTTGCATACAGATTGACCAATATATAAAAAAATGAAACATCATTCTAATAATTATCTTCTCTGCAAAATGATGAAGTTTCTAGAAATTTTTCGTTGGGTTGCATCATAACTTTTTGCTAATTTTAAATGATAAACTATACTTTGCGTGTATTGCGTCCATCTAGACTATCTTTTGTATGGTGAAGTTCATTTTACATTTCTGTGTTTTATCAGTTAATGTACTTCCATTTTATGTTACATTCCGGACTTCCTAATTTGAAATCTTTGTTTATTTCTTGGAAAGCACCAGAATAGGTGACCATCTTAGCCATCTTCTTATACCAGTTGGTTACCAAGGCCACAATCATTAGTAACGCATTTAGCTCTAATGTTATGACTTTATAATTAAAACTACAGGCACGAGTTTTACCCGGAAGTTTACTTTTAACTGTTTCTGCCTGTATCCGTTTTTTTTAATATAATTTGCTTTGAAAAATTTTGGTTTAAATTAAGGGATGTATATCCTTCTTACATAGCTCTGATTCCTACAGTATACCTATAGTTTAATCTTTTTGGTTTTATCAGCCTTCAACTTTTTAATTAGGTTTTGATTTTCAAATAATTTGGCCTCGAGCATCACTGGGGAAACATTAGTTGTCGAAATGCACATCTGACACAGTAACATTAGTACCTTTAATGTTATTGAAGTTGTAATTCAGAAGGTCCATCACCATTCTGCAACATGATTTCAAATTATCAGTAGCAAGGCAGAATCCTTTGCTATGGAAATCAACGAGGCTCTAGAGCGTTCGTAAAACAGAGATGAAATACAAAATAACTTAAAACGAAGACCACCGCAAAGACAGAAAATACAAAACGGAACAAAACACTTCAAGAGCTAAGCTGGGAACAGTACGCGACTGCTTGAAGTGGATTGGCTGATATCGATCTTGCAAGACCATGAACCAGATCAAATGAGTGTTACAGCAAAAGTATTTACTTTAGATTCTATTAAACGGATATTAACATGAAGGGAGGAAACGAAATCCGAAAAGTTGTCAAGTATGTCAACAACTCCCGTAAAACAAAGATTTCCAGACTTGATTGTTTACATTGATATTTAAATTGATGTATTTGTATAGCAAAGGATTAAATAAGATTTCAGTATTTAAGATAAGAAGTTATATGTCATTTTGATTTTGAGTTGGTTCGCAGACCTTATCTTTTCTACTTTTAGAAACATTGTATAGGTTCTTCTATAGTCAATAGATTATTTCATCATGAACACTTTAAGCAAATTAGAGGATCTTTGAATAAGAAAATACAAGAATTATGGAAAACTTAAATTCGCCTTTGGATTTTGGCTTTGGCAATTTTACATTTGATTTCGACTTAGGCAATTTAAGTTTGAAGGACTTGTTTGGCAAAGTGAAGAAACATGAAATGCCAGACGATGAAAAAGCGATCAAAATATTTGCCTATGTTGTTGCCATGTTTATTTCATTTTTCGGGAACCTTACGTTGATAGTTGTGATTTTGTCTACCAAAAGCCTTCGAACAAAATTCAATTATTACATTCTTAATCTTGCTGTGGCGGACATATTAGTGCCGTTGACCTGCATGTGGCTTCACTTAGTGACTGATTTTAATCCGTCAAAATGGATTCTTGGCTCCTTTTTCTGTAAAATTAACACGTTTTCACAAGGTAAGAAAATATAATATATTTTTATTATTTTTGCATCGTAAATTTAAGCGATTATTTTAAATACGAAAAGCTGTGAATATTATCTAAATGAAAAATAATCAAGACATTTATTTTTTTTACTCTATGTATATTATTAAACGCAGCTTAATTTTCAACTTGTCAATGTTATCTTTTTAAAATTTACAAGAAACAATAGTTGCTCAAACAGAAATTCAGGTTTTATTTTCCGTCTTTTTTAGTATTCGTGGTATCCGTCGGAATATTCACATTGCTGGTTACCATTTTGGACAGATTCTTAGCTGCGGAACACCCTTCTTTATTGTGGCTCACCCAAGGGCACCAGATTATCGTAATTATACTGACGTGGGTCTGTGGTGCAGCTATTGCGTTGCCATGGCTATTTTATACACATCTCATTGAGCTCGACTTTCTTGGAAAACACGAAGTGCTATGTCAAGCAAAGTTTCCTTCCAAGGATTCTCGGAAGGCATATACAACAGTATTTTTCGTAATTGGTTATGCTATACCGTTGTGGATAATGTGTGTTTGTATAGTACTTTCTATGGGGAAGCGTAAAAAGTCGGACATCCCCATTACATTTTTACATTCTTCCTCCCTCGACATGAAGAGGAAGGTAACTATATTTTAGTACTTGTTTTTCATATTCATATCTGCAAATATTTGTTCGTAATGTAAATACTAATTAGAAAACACCAATTTTCGGGTTTTGCTGCAAGTTTGTTGTTCAAAATTTATGTATTATAATTGGACAAAGTTTAGGAGTTAAATAGAAAATTCAGATGAATTATATGAGCATTTTTATTTACATAATTTGGCAATTAAGTTTTCATTCTACAAAATCTCAGAAATGCCCGTTTTATGAAAAATTTCAACTTAACAGGACATTTTCTATAGATTACCTAATTATTTCATGATTTAATATCTTATTAAAAAACAATTTTCTTTTTTCTGGTCATTGCATATAAGCACAACTTCGTTTACAGATGTATGAATTATCCCATGATGCACATGGTTTACTGTGGAACAAAGGCGGTTGGGTCCTGTTCCAGTTATTGTCCATACATTTTTTCATCAATAATTCATTATGAAGTATCAAATAGGTGGCGAATTTTAATGGATTTGTAGCAACAAAAAAAATATATGCAAAATATAAAGAAAATTTCCGACCAATATTGAAAAAAGAAGCAATGCGCAATCCTCTTTAAAACAGAATTATATCGACCAATGAGAATGTTTCTTATACGACCACTCTACAATTTTTTGCATAACACACCAAAATATTCATGCAACTGAATGTAAAATAAAATGTAACGTGTGGGTTAAATGAAATGTATCCTTTCATATATGAACTTCCATCTACAATTAACACATAGTTTTGTACAAACAAAATGGGTAGTTCCAAGAGGACAGTATTTTGCGAAGAGGAAAAAAGTCGCTAAGGATTGACAAGAATAGAGAAATGAATTATGAAACTGTAGAAATTTATATATGACTTCTTAATAGTCAAGTTTAAATCATTTCGGATATTAGTCCGATTCTAACACAATTGTATCTAAAAAAATAATCCACACTTAAAATCATTATTTTGAGAAGAACAAAATCGCTAATGATTGACCAGAAAAGAAAAATATTTTATAAAAATGTAAAAAATGAATGTATGATTTATTAAAAATTTTAATTATTTCGGGTATCAGTCAACACAGAATTGAGGTTAATATAAAATCTGCATAACATTAATTATGAATATTTTTTTTAGGCTCTGAACATGCTATTATCAGTATTGCTAGTATTTTTTATATGTTGGACACCGCAGCAATGTCTTAAACTTTGGGATGTTTTTAGAACGAGAAACGCACATTCAAAGGTAAGATAATGTTTTTTATTATATTTGAAAATAAGTCAACTTAAGCAGAGAAGTTAAGTGTATAATTGATTGTTTTTATTTTATTTTTAACGTCCTGTAGAAAATAGAGAGGTGTATAAATATATGAGGGTTGTAATGGGAGGGGGGGGGGATGGTAACTTCAAGACGAATAACGGTAAAAAAAATCTTGCCAAATGTCGTTAACGGTAATTTTTGGTGCATGACGATAAAATGTACACTTTCTTTAAGACGACAAAAGAATCGACTGATTTTGACGAAACACGTTAAATTTTGTCCAAAAATAACGGTAACGGAGAATTATTTGAGACCTCTGACGAATCACGATAAGGATATTTTGACGAATCACGATAAAATTTTAACCAATTTGACGCTAACGGTAGCCGAAAATTACCGCTTGACGTCTGACGGTAAAGGGTATCCTATCCTCATATATTGTTGAAGGCCGAATGTTGACCTCCCAATGTCTGTTTCTTGACGTGTACATGTACTCAACATTTTTTTTTTAATTCGATTGCAAAGCAAAACAATTAAACTAAGTACAATATTACATAATAATTGAATTCACATTGTTGTTTTTGCTTATTGTTGTTTTTTTTATATTGTATAATGGTAAAATTGTGTCTAGAGCAAAGATAGCTGTCCGTTAATAAAAGCAAAAGCAGTACACGTACACCATATACTTGTAATCATATATATGCTGGTTTTTGTCGAGCTTGCAAAATTTATTTCGCGAAAGCGGGACATAGCAATCCTAGATTCCGTCGGCGGCGTCAACATTTAGGTTCAGTCTGGGGTTAAAGTGTTTTTGGACATCATAATTTTGTCAAACATACATGGAATTTTATGAAATTGGAACAGAAGCTTGTTTATGACCAAAAGACAGTATCCAGAGCAAAATTTTGCCAATACTTATTTTCATTTTTCCATATTTTACTGATAAATGGACTTAGTTTTTTTTTTACAGTTAACACTCAAGCTCAGTCTGAAGTTTAAGTTTTTCAGTCATCAATAAGTTTGTCAAAGCTTCATGGACATTTATGAAATTTGGACAGAAGCTTGTTTATGAACAAAATATAGTATCCACAGCAAAATTTCGGAAATATTTATTTTCATTTTTCCTTATTTTACTGAAAAATGGATTTCATTTTTTAGAGTTAACATTTAAAGACAGTCTGGGATAAAAATAATTTTACATAATAAATTTGTAAACCTTCATGGATTGTTATGAAACTTGTACATTAGCTCATCTTCAAGACCAAAAAATAGCATCTAAAGAAAAACTTTGAATCGTTTTTTAAATTCTGTATTTTACTGATAAATGGACTCACTTGATAAGTCAACATTACACTTTAACACTGACAGCAGCAATCGCAGGCGAGACACAGGGTTCCGCGGAAACCCTTATAAATTTTTATATCTAGCTTAGACACTAAAAATTGAGAATTGCCTTCTACTGTAAAAAATAGCTTACTAAATTCAATACTTCAAAAACCAAGATGGATGTGTACTGATTGATATTTAGTGCTAAATAAATGATGTTTTATTGGTCGTTATTGTCTTGAACTAGCTTTCAGTAACTGCGAGTACTCTCAGATCTGTACTTTGTGTCTTTTATATATTTTTTTGTGCAATAACCACATTTTCTTATTCATAAATTGATTCTTAACAAATTTAAAATATAAACTATTAGTCCTTATTTTATTTTGCCAATAAAAACAGCCTCCATACCTGTTTATAATTTCAAAGGTTATAATGCAGGTATTGGTTGATATGGTTACAGAATATAATAATTTTCCGTTACGAAAAACTCTCTTTTCTTTTAATTAATTTATAATTTGCTTTATAAAAATTAGTAAAATGTTGATTCAGCTATTATAAAATAATAAGATGTGGTATGATTGCCAATGAGACAACTCTCAACAAGAGACCAAATGGCACAGATATTAACAACTATAGGGCACCGTACGGCCTTCAACAATGAGCAATAATTGTATATTTATCTATAACAGCTGCCGCCAGGGATAGATTCCTATGTTTTTGCTGCATTTTACATGGCATATTTTAATACATGTTGATTAAACCACTGTATATTTATTTATTACAGCTACCGCCATGGATAGATTCCTATGTTTTTGCTGCATATTACATGGCATATGTATTTATTACAGCTTCCACCATGGATAGATTCCTATGATTTTGCTGCATTTTACATGGCATATCTATCTATTACAGCTACCACCATGGATAGATTCCTATGTTTTTGCTGCATTTTACATGGCCTATTTTTCTATTACAGCTACCACCATGGATAGATTCCTATGTTTTTTCTGCATTTTTCATGACATATTTAACTATTACAGATACCGCCATGGATAGATTCCTATGTTTTTGCTGCATTTTACATGGCATATTTATCTATTAAAGCTACCGCCATGGATAGATTCCTATGTTTTTGCTACATTTTACATGGCATATTTATCTATTAAAGCTACCGCCATGGATAGATTCCTATATTTTTGCTGCATTTTACATGGCATATTCATCTATTACAGCTACCGCCATGGATAGATTCTTATGTTTTTGCTGCATATTACATGGCATATTTTAGTACATGTTGTCATCCATTGATTTACATTGGCTTCAACAAATGCTTCCGGCATGCTGCAGTAGCAATCATAAAATGTAAAAGAGACAAATTCAGTCCAACCACTGTGTATCCAGGTACGTTTATTTATTAAGATATACCAACGACATTTGGCGCCAATAAAAAAAGGCCTAACCCTGCCACATTCCGTATGAGCGTATCCAAAGTCAGAAGCCTGTAATTCAGTGGTTGTCGTTAGTTGCTGTATATCGTTTTGGTATCTCGTTTATTGTTTTTTACATAAATCAGGCCATTAGTTTTCTCGTTTGAATTGTTTTACATTTGTCATTTCGGGGGCTTTTTATAGCTTACTATGCGGTATTGATTTTGCTCATTGTTGATGGCCGTACGGTGACCTATAGTTGTTAACTTCTGGATTTTACTTCATCGGGAACGCTCAAACAAAAACAATTGAAAGCCAGGGATGAATAAATACGTAGTAACGTTAGGAGCTGAATAACCAAAAGGACATTAAAAGAATAGCCAAATTCAGTTATATTAAATTAAACCTGAGGGAGTTTGAATCTTAGTTTTTTAGTAATTTCTTAATTTATTAATATGATCAAATTTCGAAAATTGGTTGTAGCTTATACGCTAATTTCAAGTGAGAGGTTTAGCTGGTTTAAAAACCAGTTTTAATCCACCATTTTCTATATAAGGAAATGCCTGGACCAAGTCAAAAATATGACAGTTGTTTTCCATTCGTTTGATGTGTTTGAGCTTTTGATTTTGCCATTTGATAAAGAACTTTCCGTTTTGAATTTTCCTTCGAGTTCGGTATTTTCGTTATTTTACTTTTTTTCCAAACGCACATTTCTAGCATTAGGGGATTTTCTTTGTTAAAAAATGTACAGATAACTACAATCAACAGTGCACACTCATATTAAGCCAAACAATAGCTTTCAAGTCATGAATACTACACTGTAAGACCACTTTAAAGTGATGAATTTTATCGAAGTTGGAAACGCAAATTATTTTTAAATACTCTTTTATTTGAGCTTTCAAGTTGAGTTTTTTATAGAATTTTACCACCATTTTTTTTTTTAATTTGATGAAAGAACGTTTCCATCCTTGCTTGCGTAGTAGCCCTGAACAGAGAAAATAATACGCGAAATACACATTTTACTGGTAAATTTAATTGGAAAATTAAGTAATTTTATGCATACGACTTTAACAAAATTACTTAACTAAGTTAATTCTTAGTGAAATCTAAGTTTAAGGAACTCTTTAGTTACGATGTTTTATGCATACGGGTCCAGATCAATTTTGTGGCTGAACAATTTATCTCAAAATATTTCCGTTTTCATATCATTTCTGATTTTCAGTTCTTCATTTTTCAAATTGACATTATGTTATTTTTTATATTTGTATTGTTACTTCTTTTGCTCTTGCTATGTTTGATGTGAAAACTTTGAAGTGCAAGCACTGCAATCTCGTATAGACATAGTTATGATGATTGCGTAGGAAGATAAGCATTTAGAATAAACTTATTATACTGATTTTTAAGTACACGACCATTGTTCATGGACAGCTGTCTACAGGTAAGGTCGAGACCAAAACAAAGCTTTCAAAAATAAAAAAAATAGTGTTAACATGTCTTCTTTTTTATTGTTCTTTGTTGCTTTTTTAACAGTCTGCGTTTTCAAGTTTTATCTTGCATAATATATTGTATATAGTATAATTAATGGCGGCCATAATTGTAATTCCACAAATTTACAAACTTTCACAATAATGTGTCATTAGGTCATTTGGACATGTATCCTCATAATCAGATTGAAGCTGGTTTTTGCTGTCAATTGTTTAAAATTAGAAGAAAAACCATGAATATTGCGAGAGAATGAAGTTAAAATTTTAAAAATAGAATTAATTTATGTATAACCTCTATAAGAATTAAAGATCTATAATTCTTTTGGTAATTTATTATATCAAATAAATCACTATAACAAATTTTACGTTGCAGGTTTAGGATCACAGGCTCCACTAGAAAATTCTTATTCAGAAGAACAAGAAGACTCCAATAGTATAGAACTTCAAGGACCTAGCAATGTCCAGCAACCAAACCATAATAGTAATCATCGCTATTCTTTCAGTGATATACAATTAGTACATAGCTGTTACCAAGACCAAACACAGGAAGTCCAACAAAATGAATAAACCATTGCCGTGACGTCAGCCTATTCATTTACCCTCCGGGTGCGTGGTATCTTTTTAACGCACCAACGCTTATCCATTGTATCTTCTTTATATAAATGCCGTGGTTTCGAAACCAAAACAGGAGGACGCAAGTTGTGCTTGAACATTATTTTCATATTTTTATATTGAGAACAATAGTTGTAGGTGTATACAGCTGAAAGAAAGATAAGCTTGTAGAGAATTAGATCTGTGCCAGTTGTGTTTCCGAATTACGTCATAAACACCAAAACGATCGATTTTAATGAGATAACCTATTTGTTATGTGATATGACAATACTCAAACTAAATGTCTGGGTGATCTAAACAAAATGTAAAATGCCTTTTTCTTGGCGAAATAAGAAAAGGCCTATTGCCTTATGTAAATATGTAATCAGAAATTTCCGAACAAAACTGTTACTTTGTAGAATTTTGGTAGTTTGGTTATTAAGAATCTTTTAATTTATTCTATTAAATTTAATACAAGTTGTTCTGAAATTTTGTTATTTTAAGCACAGTTTGATATAAAAAAAATGTTTCAATTGGCAATTTGAATACGACAAGTGAAACATATTCGTGATAATCTGTGACCGAAATAATAAATTAAGACTATGTTCGTGAAACTGAACATTTTAATGAGATGACTACAGTTTCATTAAGATTCCTTGGTTCAACAGCAAAACAGGAGGGACATTTCAGGAATTAAAAAAGATTGTTTCTGAGATACAAATCACCCTATATGAAAGCAGTAAAAATACTCTTTGCATGATAAACCATTAGATTATATGGTACTTTCCCCAATTATGGTATGAAACGCATTGCTTGAAAATATTGTATCAACTGGGGGAAATATCCTTCATATTCAGATGCTACTCGGACGTTCCTAAACTAAAACGGGAAGATCACGATTGGTATTAAGAATTCTTTCTTTTGATCGTAAACTTTAGTTCGATGTTCACTGTCAATTTTAAAAAATAAAATCAATTTAAGAGAGGGACGTGCATTTGGGTTTGCGGGATGCATAAATACGTAACCACGTCTGGACGGATTAAGGGTCCATAGGCGACCAGTTGCAAGGCAAAATGTCGACCCACGGAAGCAGGACAAATCGCCCCACTGGCAAATCGCCCCACACCAAACCGCCCCACTTTTTCACCAACTCGCCCCAAACTGGTTTACCAACTCGCCCCACTTTTAGAAAAATCGCCTCACTTGTGAAAAGGGTTAAATCCCGTTAATTTTTCTCCTGCCAACTCCGCCCCACTTAATGAAATAATGTAAACCTAGATGAATATACAATTTCAGGTCTGCCAATTCGCCCCACTTAACTAAAAAAATCTTATACACAGAATACAAAAAAAACGAAAATTGACTAAATCATTATTATTGACATTGAGTTTGCATGACTCAACTTGATTCATCAGGTATTTTCTATTTTTCATAAGTGGGTCGAGTTGGCATTTCTCAATTCATGAGGATTTTTCTATTTTTACAGGTTGGGCTAGTTGGCATTACTCAATTCATCGGGATTTTTCTATTTTTCACTGGTTGGGCTAGTTGACATTACTCAATTCATCAGGATTTTTCTATTTTTCACTGGTTGGGCTAGTTAGCATTACTCAATTCATTAGGATTTTTCTATTTTTCACTGGTTGGGCTAGTTAGCATTACTCAATTCATCAGGATTTTTTCTATTTTTCACTGGTTGGGCTAGTTGGCATTACTCAATTCCTCAGGATTTTTTCTATTTTTCACTGGTTGGGCTAGTTGGCATTACTCAATTCCTCAGGATTTTTTCTATTTTTCACTGGTTGGGCTAGTTGGCATTACTCAATTCATCAGGATTTTTTCTATTTTTCACTGGTTGGGCTAGTTGGCATTACTCAATTCCTCAGGATTTTTTCTATTTTTCACTGGTTGGGCTAGTTGGCATTACTCAATTCATTAGGATTTTTCTATTTTTCACAGGTTGGGCTAGTTGGCATTACTCAATTCATCGGGATTTTTTCTATTTTTCACTGGTTGGGCTAGTTGGCATTACTCAATTCATTGGGATTTTTCTATTTTTCACTGATTGGGCTAGTTGGCATTACTCAATTCATGAGGATTTTTCTATTTTCCACTGGTTGGGCTAGTTGGCATTACTCAATTCATGAGGATTTTTCTATTTTCCACTGGTTGGGCTAGTTGGCATTACTCAATTCATGAGGATTTTTCTATTTTCCACTGGTTGGGCTAGTTGGCATTACTCAATTCATGAGGATTTTTCTATTTTCCACTGGTTGGGCTAGTTGGCATTGCTCAATTCATGGGGATTTTTCTATTTTCCACTGGTTGGGCTAGTTGGCATTACTCAATTCATGGGGATTTTTCTATTTTCCACTGATTGGGCTAGTTGGCATTACTCAATTCATGGGGATTTTTCTATTTTCCACTGGTTGGGCTAGTTGGCATTACTCAATTCATCAGGATTTTTCTATTTTCCACTGGTTGGGCTAGTTGGCATTACTCAATTCATCGGGATTTTTCTATTTTCCACTGGTTGGGCTAGTTGGCATTACTCAATTCATCAGGATTTTTCTATTTTCCACTGGTTAGGCTAGTTGGCATTACTCAATTCATCGGGATTTTTCTATTTTTCACTGGTTGGGCTAGTTGACATTCACGTCACAGAAAATACTGATACTCACTTCTATATGCCTTATTTCAACAAAAAGAAAAGAACTACAAAATAGATATAAGAAGATGTGGTATGAGTGCCAATGAGACAACTCTCCATCCAAGTCAAAATTTATAAAAGAAAAACCATTATGTATAGGTCAAACAGGAAGCTATAAAGGGCCCCAAAAATGACTAGTTTAAAACCATTCAAACGGGAAAAAACATGTGTATCTAAGGTTTTAATAGGTATTGATTTTACTTAGATATACAACGGGATTGCATCTTTTTTCATAAGTGGGGCGAGTTGGCATTACTAAATTCATCAGAATTTATCTATTTTTCACAAGTGGGGCGAGTTGGCAGACCTTATATCAGAGGGATTTTTTTCCCTTTTCATAAATGGAGCAATATATCCAACCTATTTTCAATGGGATTTTATCCTTTTCATAAGTGGGGCGAGTTGGTAAACAAAAGTGGGGCGATTTTTAAGAAAGTGGGGCGAGTTGGTGAAAAAGTGGGGCGATTATGTGTGGGGCGATTTGTCATGGATTCTCGACCCACATATAGTCAACTGCTTTCTTTTTTTACCGTGGTAATCTAAATTTCACTCCCTTCATCCCATTTGACCAACTTTGCAAACCTGTTATATTTATTGTTAATGTGTTCAAATCCTGAATGTGCATGAAATATTTGCTACTGGACGTTAAGCAAACAACAAACAATCTGGTATTTCGCAATATAAATTTTCATGTTTTTGCAAATCAGTTGCTTTGGTTCTGTTCTTTTTGATATATTTGAAAAACCTTTTTACAAGGCTGAATGGTAAAACTATTTTCTCTCGATGCTTTAGTTTTACTTGGTAACTGATATCAAAGTTGTATACCAAAGTAAAAAAACAAAAATTAAAATTAAAGAAAAACACTGACTAGAGTGGATGCCATCAGAGTCTCGTGATATTAAAACTTAGCGAGATCAGGATGATCTGCTATAAATGCACCACCTCTAGTAGAAAGTGTCAATATCAAGAATATGACAAACCAGTAAGACGAACGGTAGCGAACAAGTGGAATCTATTACATAGGTTAAATGTCTTAGGTTAAAAAACAATAAAGAATATAAATTTCATGTCGTAAGTCAAGAAATTGCAAAATGACAAAAATCAACAAATTCGGGGTTTGGACCAGAGAGGTTTTTGAAATGATAATTTCATTCATAATGATTCCCAATAATCTTGTTAGAGTAGTTTTCTTTATGCGTAATAGTTTTCGTAATAGTTTTCTATATGCGTAAAGAGAAATCATCTATCCGCGAAATTGCCATAATAATAACCTTTTCTGGTATTTCAAATCATCTGATATACAATCATGTTCTAGACATAGGAATTGGTATGCGATTACACGAGGATTGCAAAAAAAAGTTAAATGATATCATCGCAAGAAGGAAATAAAAAAAGATAATTACAATAACACACTGGCAACGGGACTATAACACAAACACAATGTCCTAAAACACCACACATAATAATAAAGATTGAGCAACACTACGCATATAAAAAAAAAACAAGAGTACAGAAACAAGAATGTTAGCCAGGATGCATAATTAGAAGCCATAGAAAACCAGCTGTGTGTTAAAAAAATATGTAGTTATGAACAAAGAAGTAATATGAAAAATTATGAAAGCGATTGGAATAAGAAGTAGACTAGAGCGTAATAGCGTAGAGAATTCAAACGTTTTGATATTGTTGCAAAATTGTACTAGACCAGGCGGAAACCTAGTTGAAATTAAACAAAAGAAATGGAACTCTTTGTTAGAGAAGGTTAAAAAGGCCAAGTTGGTAAATTTTAATTGTTTACATCTGTTTCTATGGGCTTTAAAGTTTAATGAAAGTGCCTAATTTAGGATTGTATGCATCTTATGTAAGTGTTTTACTTAAATTATGGTATGGAGCGTCAAGATATTTGTGAACTTTTAAATTATAAAAAAAATTTTACAAAACCGTCGATTGTGGTAGGTGCAAATACATGAAGATCTTTTTTGTGCATAAGCATAAATTCCGCCAAAAAAAATCCACAGAAAGATAATTAATTGATCTTTTTTAAAGATGTAATTTGCATCTCTGCCCCCGGCGACAGTTTTTTGGGAAAAAATCCCCAAAATGGGCAATAATTTCATCGAAAAGAGAAAGTCAAGTAAACCTTTTTATGTTTAGGCGTGTTTGAGTTGACTATTATGTCTGGAAAACGTATAAAAGAAAAATATTTGATACATCATCTCGCTTCAGATTCTATTATTTTTATATATTTAGACTCTAGGTTAATATAATAACATTAAACATTTACAGTACTAAAAATGAAATATATGGGTCAAGTGAAATATCTTTCTAATAAATGGGGAATGTGTCCATGGGACACAGATGATGCCCCCGCTTGCATATCATATAAAGTTATAAAGGGACATAACTGAAGAACGGTAAAAGTGACGCTACCCAAATTTGAACTTGATCTGATTTTTGTGGTAATAAGCATTGTGTATAAGTTTCATAACATTTGGTCGAGGCAAACTAAAGTTAGAAAATAGATACGAAAATTTCAGCAATTTTTATGTTTATAAAGGAGCATAACTCAAGAACGGTAAAAGTGACGCCACCCAATTGCAAACTTGATCTGTAGTATGTGGTAATAAGCATTGTGTATAAGTTTCATAACATTTGGTTCATGCATACTAAAGTTAGAGAATGGAA